TAAAAATTTGTTAAAATATATATTTTCCATTAATGCACACCCTCTCTAAATGCACTCTTTTACTCAGTCCTGAAGGGTGTATTTAGAGAGGTCTGACTGTATCTAATAAGCAAAGGTAGAAAAATTTACACATTAAATATAAGAATACTTATATTCTTTATTTATATAAGTAGATAAATATTGAATATAAATATATGATAGAATAACTAATTTTTCTAAAATAAAATTTTATATTATTAAACTATATATGATATTAATCTTATTATTTTTTATTTTAATTAATTAACAAACTATAATACTATAGCTAAAAAATGTACTTATTACAATAAGAATAAATTTAAAATTTTAAAAATATAATCTAAAATATGTAATAGTCAGTATATAAATAAAAATAAGAAGAAATACATATAATTTAGTTAAATACCTAGTATAAAAATTAAGAGAATAACCAAAAAGAATCAAAAAGATGCTTGAAAAGTATAATCTTTAATCTAAAAAGAAGATTAATTTAATGTATAAAAAATATTTTAAAAAAGATATTAATAATGATCTAACAAAACTAGATTATTGTATATAGTAAATAATATCTTTATAATCTAATTTTCTTAAACAAAGGTTAATATCAGAAAAAATAATAATTAGATTGAGATATGTTTTTAAATGGTATTTAGACTAAAAAGTTATGTAACTATAATTATACAGATTTATTAAAACTTATTTCTGTAGCATTCCTTTAATAACTATCTATAATTTTATATGTAAATTATGAAGATATAAAGATACAATAATTACATTTATGATGTCTTTAAAATTTATTATCCTAATTATGTCCTAGCTATATGTCTTAATCTGTCTTACACTATATCTTAATATTCTATCTATCCCATTTATGTCCTATTAATATCCTATTAATATCATAATTATCTCATATAACACTATATAAATATATATGATAGAGAATTAGAAAGTAAAATTGCTAAATAAACCATTAATAAATACATCATTAACTACTAGAAAATATTAAAAAAAATGATGGATTAATAAAGTAATAGTTAAAGAATTAAAAATTTTCAATACTTAGCTTTAGATTATTATTCCTATATAATTCTTAGTTTTTAGATCACTGTTTTTAGAATCGTTTTATACAATTTTTTTTTTTAGCCACTTTTTTATTACACAAAATTTTCGCTTTTTAATTGGTAGATATTATGTCACGTGATAAAATCGGCGGTGAAACTAAATCACGTTATTATTTGCATTAAAACTAGTTAAACAACAAATTAGCTTAAATTTTGATATTTTATATTCATTAAAATTAAAATCACTGAAAACAATATACATTTCGATTCCAATTGAATAAATTTTAGATTATGATCATAATTTACGAAATATAAAAATTTATAAAATTTGTTTCATTTGATTAATTCAATGTACAAATTATAGTGTTCAAAAACTTTTTGAAAACCCTCTGTAAGACCGGTTAAATAGATTATCAAATAATAAATATTGCTTTTTAATTTGTTTTCGTAATTCTAGAAAAATTAGATGCGGCATTACAAATTTAAGATTACAGAGTTCTTATTAATACAACTTTATCTTTTTGTTCTTTTTTATTGATGAACAAATCCAGCTTTAACTTTTAGGACAATTACTGGGCCGTTCACGTTATTAATCAAATTGCTAGTTGTTGATATTAATGCGGAATATCATTACTGCGGTCAATAAAACTTGGACGTTACAGTAAAGCTTCTTTTGTTATTACAAACAATAAGAATTCAAAGTTTTATATATCGAAAATAATGTTTTTTTGAAAAGAAATTTTTTTAATAAAAAGCATTTTTATCAAAACCAACTAAATTTCGTGAGAATATTTTGCAAATATAACAACCGCGAAATTATTTCACGCGTTTAACAGAACAACGACTATAAAAAAAAAAATTCCATTTATAAAATAGAACAATGATTCATGATAAATGATAAAAAAATGGTTTGGAAAGTTTGATGAAAAAACAGTTGATAACTATGCAGAATAAATTATTTCTCAAAAATAGATTCTAAAAAAACATTCTTCTAAAAATTCATTGATGCCTTTTCTTATCATCCGTATAATCTGTATAATAAGCATTGGATTGCCCTTCTAATTTTTCGTCTTTTCCATGATTACCATAAGTAGGAGGATATGCTTGACTTACTTCCTCATTAGAAAATCCGGCACCAGATTTTTGAGCATCTTTAACAACGGAACCTTTGTCTTTTGGATATGAATGTTGCTGATATTGTGAATGATATTGAGGTTGAGATTGTGGCTGATATTGTGGTTGATATTGTGGTTGATGTGGTTGATATTGTGGTTGATGTGGTTGATGTGAATGTTTTGATGTTGGTTGAGTTGTTGAATGAATCTTTACTGTCTCTGGACGCGTTCCTCCAAATATTGGACGAACTTCGCCTGAATTTGATTCATCTCGGTATTTAAAAATTACATAAAATGCATGGAATAATCCTGGAAGCCATCCTATAGATGATAATAATAATAAAGTTAATTTTAAACGTGAATACGATGCATTGATAAGATATAATTTACCTAATAATGTTAAGATAATATTAATCCAAAAATCCGCATTAAAACCTCGTTTCATTACCACTCCTAATGGAGGAAGCATTATACTAACGAGCAAAGCGATAATATCATAGATGCTATATTGTGCCATGTTTTAATATTTTAATTTATTCTAAAAATTATATTTTTACAAAAGTAAATTCTAGCACCTATTTATACTTAAAAATTTTGCCAAGAAAAATCTAGACGTCATCATTAAATGTTCAAATCGCCGATGATTTTTATGATGGATTTTCTACGTAATATTAGTTCTAAAATGAGCTAGTGAATAATATTCTAAAACGACGGATTTTTGAATTTTCTAGAAAATAAAAAATTTAAAAGATAAGCGCTTGATCAGATCTACATCTACAATTAAAAATAATTAAAAAGAAATTATCGTTTATAAAATTATAAAAATCGATTATGTTGTTTCCAAAAGTATCATTAGAATTTACCAGTATAGGCTGTAATAAATTACCACAGGTAGCCTCGTGGGGATATGATGGTCTATTAGCTTTTGGAGCATATAATTATATTGCTTTATATTATCCTGAGGTAAATTTAGTACGTTTACATAACATTTCCGGTTTCTTTTGATAACTATAATAAAAAATATTACATTTCAGGACCCGGAATCTAAGGGAGTTATTGCAACACTATCAGGACATAAAGATAAAGTTAATTGTGTGGAATTTATAAATAGAGGTATTAATATGCGTTTTGTTTTCATTCATTAGTTTATTTTTCTAATGTATATTTTATATTAGGAGACGAAACAAATCAAACGAATATTGCAATTGTTTCCGGTTCAACTGATAAAACTGCAAGAATATGGAAAAAGAATAGATCTGGAAAAGTAATCCTTAAGATTCATTTTTATTCGAATTCTCTTTTTTTTTGTAAGATTTCTAATTTTTTTTATAAATTTATAGTGGATTAATTCTGCGATATTAGAATCACATAACGAATCGATTAATACTTTAGGAGTTATTAGATCTGGAAATATTACTATAGAAAAAGATTTGTTTGCTACAGGGTCTTCAGATTGTGTGATCAAAATTTGGGAAAGGAGTGAATTGGATGACACAAAAGGTAGCTATTGTTTGAACTCTCGCAGAAACCTGTATATAAAGCTAACCCTTTTTTTTAGATTTGGTTGAATGTATTCAAACAATTAATCTTGGAACAAAATATCCTTTAGCTTTGGCAATTTCTTATTTACCAGAATCTAAAGGTATTGGGTTTAAAGAAGAGATTTTAATTGTGAATTGGTACATGATCTTTTCATTTTAAGTTTATACATTCATCAGTGCCAATATTAGCTTGTGGAAGTACAGATAAAAAGGTATTATTATTCGTACAAAAAAATAACCAGGTAAACAAATATTTATTTATTTATTATCTTAGTTAAATTTATATCGCCAACTAATGACTACTAATCAACAAAAATTAAAACTATAGTTTGTTGAGTCATTATCATTGCAAGGACATGAAAATTGGGTTAGATCATTATCTTTCGCTACATATACAACACCAATATCACCACCAAATAATAATATTAAACAAGAATATAAATTACAAGGGGGAGATTTATTATTAGCAAGTGGTTCACAAGATAAATATGTCAGACTTTGGAAATTTAGTCTCGTCAAGAATGATCTGGAAAAATTTGATAAGGGGAAAGAAAATGAGAATGGAAGTGAAAAGAGATTTTTGATTAAAGACTTGTTGGCTAATGTTTCCGAAAATGGAGCATTGTAATTAAGAATTCCTTACATTGAGAATCTGAACGTTTATGATGGGTTTAATCTAATTTTTTTGGTTTAGATCTGGAGGTAAAGTACAATTAAGTACGAAGGCTCATATTATTGACGTTGAAGTTGCTAAAGAAGGATCATGTAACAAGTAGGTAATAAAATTATGAGATGTTTTACAATCAATATCTATTAACTAGATTTATTAATTTTATAGTCAACGATACAGCGTTATGTTTGAGGCATTGCTTATGGGACATGATGATTGGGTTTATAGTGTATGTTGGCAACCACCATGTTTAATTAAAGGTAAACGGTTATATTGAAAAAAATAAATAATATATATATATATATATGTTGAAATCCGTAAATTAAATTATTTTATTAAAAAAGTTAACTTTTAGATTTTGAAGGGAATTTAAAATATCATCAACCAATGACAATACTTACATCTTCATCAGATAAATCAATGATGATATGGAAACCCGAGGCCGATACTGGCGTTTGGGTTAACTTGGTAGACAGAATTTATAAATGCAATTTAATACATTCTATGAATATATTGTAATGATTTAATAATTAAAATCTACCTTTTTTTAGGTGAGAGTAGGTGAAATTGGAGGATATACACTTGGATTTTTTGGAGGATTATTTAATAAGGAAGGAAATTGTATTATTGGGCATGGGCATACCGGAGCATTTCATTTATGGAAAAATGTTGATAAAGATGAAAGTGGTATTATAAAGAGTTTTTTTTTTTGTGAAATATTATATGCGTCTTTTTTATAAAAATATATATATGTATATGCCTACCGTTTTAGATGAACAAAATTGGAAACCACAAGTTTCGATAAGTGGGCATTTTAATTCTGTCAAAGATATTTCATGGGATAAAGACTTTAATTATCTTGTATCTGTTAGGTAAGATTCTTAAAATATTCACAATTTGTGAAAAATTTTCAAGTTCTAACGGAGCTTTTTTTCACATATTTAGCCTTGATCAAACCGCTAGATTATTTGCTCCATGGTGCCGAAAAGTCAGCAGCAATGATAAAATTTCTCTGACTTGGCATGAAATCGCGAGACCACAAATTCATGGTTATGACATACATTGTATTTGTTTTGTAAATAAATGGAGATATGTTAGTGGATCTGATGAGAAGGTATGCGCATATTTTGAGTAGGTTTTATGAAATTATTTAATTAACATAAATATATTTAGGTAATAAGAGTTTTTGATGCACCGAGAACATTTGTTCAATCTTTATCAAGGTTACTAAATAAAGAAGAAATTTTGGAAGAATTAGTAAGTTAATTAAATAAAATAACTAAATAGATTCAGAATAATTCCTTAATAATAAATTTTTCAAAAATGGATCAAACTAGGAATCAAAGCCGTTAGGAGCAAATTTACCAGCATTAGGATTATCAAATAAAGCGGTATTTCAGACGGATATAGAAAATTTTGAAAAGGCTGCACAAGATGAAGAATTTTTAAGTAGACAATCTTATGTTCATTCGAGTTCCACTCCCAATAGTTTGGTACAAACTTTAAGTCAACCACCCTTTGAAGAACATTTATTACAACATACCCTTTGGCCTGAAATTGATAAATTGTAGGAAAATTGTATAGTTGTATTGCAAGGGAAGGAAGTCTTGTTTTATTGATTTGAAAATCTTCACTTTTCTTTGTTTGTAGGTATGGACATGGATTTGAACTTATTAGTGTCGGCGCTAGCCATGATGGAAAATATGTTGCAAGTGCCTGTAAGGTTTGGTATCACTTAAACTAGATTTCTTAAGGTTAGAGGGGGTCTATTTATTAAATTTCATTTCCAATATCTGATTTAGGCAGCATCAGCCGAGCATGCGGTGATTAGATTATATGATACATCAACTTGGAAAGAATTACCAAATCCATTACAATCACATACATTAACGGTGACACAAACTAAATTTTCACATAATGATAAATACCTACTGACCGTATCTAGAGATAGAATGTGGTCGATATTCGAAAGATATGATGAAGGTATGTTTATGAAATTCTTCCAATGCATCTCTTCAACAAAATAACCCAAACTTATATACTTAGGTACAACACCTTATAAATTTGTCACGAAAAATAGAGCACATGCTCGTATCATTTGGGATTGTTCCTGGAGTCATGATGATACATTGTTTGCTACTGGATCTAGGGACAAGACAGTATGTTTTGTAATTGTTTATTTGCATGGAATGTTTATGAACGTTACTAAGATAATTTTACATAGGTTAAAATCTGGACGCAAATTATGGAACAAGAGCAAATTCAATGGAAATGTATATTTGTTATAAAGTTACAAGAAGCTGTAACAGCAATTGATTTTGCTCCTATACTTATTAATCAAAGGTAACATCAAAGTTATTTCAATTGCAAAATTTATATTTTTTATAAATTTTAATTTTAAAAAATTTTTCTTTCAGGTATTTGTTGGCTATTGGATTAGAAAATGGAAAAATAATAATATATCAATCTGACGATGAACAGCAATCGGAAAAATGGAATGAATTTATTGAAGTTGATAAAGAGTAAATGTCAAATGATTCTATTATTTATTGATAATCCAAATTAAGAATACTAATATAATCTTTTATATTATTAGCGAATGTCATATTTGTAGTGTTAATAGACTAATGTGGAAAAGCAAAGATATTCAGCAAAGTGAAAATGTTAAATTACAATTAGCTAGTTGTGGAAGCGATTATTGCGTTAGATTATTAAATATTATCGTAGAAAATCATATTTAGTACACAATATGGAATGATATACGAAGAAATTAATCTAACTTTCCATTAAAATAACGCTATTATTAAAATTGAAATGATCCCCAACTGATCATCAGTTATTCCTTTTGATATAAGCATTCTGATAAAGATAATAAATATTTACATTATTTAAATAATTATTTTAACGAGTTATTTAAAATAACGAATTTTAAGATATATAGTAAATCATACAACGTTCCGTTAGAAAAAAAAATCTATATAGAAAGTCTCAACTTTCATCATAAGTATATCGTTGTGAAACCACCCTACATTGCCTTCTTTGTGCTTTGAAAGAATTCTTTTTGAGTCTTTATTCCACCTTATGATCAGATCGAGTTAAATAGAGTTTTTGACACAAATTCTTTCTTGAAGGCATCTGGAAGTTTCCATGATATAATTTCTTATGTGTGACAATATTATATCCTTTGGATTTTATAAATCTGATATACAACTCACGTAAGTAACAACAACTCTTTGACACTGCTATAAATGACTTAATTGTCTTGTCCTGGTCCATTATATATTTACGATCATTTTCAGACCAAGTACTGTTCTTAGCGATGTAAAATTTACACTTGTTGGATAAAATTTTCGAGTTTACCGTCACTACTTCTCTGTCTCTTATTTGCTAAGTTACAAGAAAATTTCTCAATTTCTGACAATTTTAATGTTCTTCTTCACTTACTTCATTGACGACAAATTTAATGCTTTCAGAAACACCACACTTCACTATAAAATTCTTTCTCTTGTTTTTTATTACCTGCTTATTGATAAATATGGATAAATCGTATAGATCGTTATAAATAAAAAATTATTCCGAGAATTTTCACATAAGCAGACCCGTTTGCAAACTAATATTTGTTTTTTTTTTTTCGTTTAAGATTTCAAAAGACCTTATTAGCATCACGAAAGGCAGACAACGTGAATTTTCAGCGGGGCTTTAACAAGAATTTATTTACGACACGAAAACTTTTTATTCTATCCAAAATGTCGATCGATTATTAAGACAAATCATGGAGTTAGTTTTATAACATGCTAGCATGGTTTAGACAAGCGAAAATCTGGTGTGGTCTGCAAACATTAATATAGCTTCGCTTTGTAAACTAATCAACATTAGCAAGAATTATATAAATTTTCCTTGGGAAATGATTTTTAATATGTATACAGTGTGATATGTTTCAGATAAATTTTTTGAGTAATTCCGGATGAATAAAAATTATAGTAGTGATTCGCAAGAGCATTTAAAGTATTCAATGAGACCCAACTCTCGAAAATGACTATATGTTAGCAATTTGTAAAGATAATTTGGTTGGCATTTGTAACTAATTTTTATGCCAATTATTTAAAAACTTAACAGGCATTCATACTTTATTCCTCCCTTGAAACCCTGCTTCTTCTCATGTATTTGATTTACGAAAAAAAAAAAAAATAATTAATTTTTGTTCTGTATTATTATGACCAGGGCATAAAATAGGATAGCAAAATTTATCGTTTATCAATTTATTGCGAAAGTTGGGATATTTTCACAACCAATCGGAGATCGTTTTTTACAATACTAATTTTTTGCCCTGATTGTGACACAAACCTCAACTGCGCATAATCTCATAATCTGCATCGTCAGATCGTCAAGTGATCTGCATTTATGCGGGATAAATCTACCTAATTTGGGTTACTCCTTGTCCCGATTGCGCTAAATAGTATTTTGAGCATTGTACAACATCCTATATGATACATAACATATAAATCTTAAATACACGCGTCTCTATTTAACGAAACTTTAACGCGTCTCTATTTAACGAAACTTTAACGCGTCTCAATTTATAATAAGGGACTGAAAGCTTGAAAGTAAGTTTAAACAAAGTTTATAATTTTTTCATTGCTGAAATTTCCACGAACATTTTTTACATTCATCATTATGTCTGATATTACTTTTTGCACCCGAGAAACTATGGAAAGCATCCCATTCCCATGTGATAATTGGTCTCTTCACCAATATGTGTCCTCGGTGGTTGATAACTATAAATTCGCTGAGAAAAAGGAAGCTCATCGTACTTTCTATAGTGTTCTACATAATATCAATAATAATCTTTGCATGTCCCAAGAAGTTCGTGATATTGCTCAAAATCTTATAAAGAGCAGTAAGGTAAGCATACTTAGTATAACTATTTGCTTTGATGGGGCTTTATAGCCAGATGCTTGTACCTATTACCACGCCCTAGTAGGAGTCCTGCAAGTATTGAAATGGGTGCGTTTATTACCACGCCCTAGTAAACTTCATGGAATGTGTCAATTTTTTAGTAAAGTTCTGCTGATTACGTTAAAGGATTCGGCTATGTACCTTTCTTTACATTAAAAAAAAATATATATCTATTGACATGATCCTGCATCCGCCATCAAATCATTTTTTTTGTCTGATTGTGCTTACTGGGAAATGTTAATCACCTAGTTTACTTCATAGGCTGATGTTGAGAGTGTTAATAGCTTGTGGAGAAAGAACATCAAAGAAAGAAAGGTACCGGCATCATCATCACCATCATCGCGATCATCATCGCCAATACCACAGCCATCATCACAACCATCATCATTAGGAAAGAGGCAAAGAGAATCAGCTTCCACAAACTCCTCTTCGAAGAAGCAATGTGTAGTCCCAGAAATAAGTTGCTTCTGTCCGAGTGTGGATGTACCTTTGCAAGCAAATGGATCGGTAGATATTCTAGAGACCGTGAAGTCTACTATATGTGTATTTGACCGGAAAATAATATCCCTTGGTTCTTCCCGTTCCTACAAAAGTTCCAATCATTTGTTAGTGGATTCTGAACAAAATGTGAAAGTTCCTCGGGAGAGCACATATGATGCTGAGATGTATAGGATCCTAGTAAATTGGCTTGCAATAGTGAATGGCTTCGAAATAACTGGTCAGTGGCATCTCGAAAAAGTGTGCGATGATGGTGACTACCATCATTTTTACTGCGACCTGACAATTAAGAAACCAGATAATCCCCATCCTGAAGCTGTCCTTGAACTTGTAGCAACAGGAACTATACCTAAACTTATAAAACATTTTGATCGGGTAATTAAGTATGCCGACCAGCTTTGTCCCAAGGAAGTTTGGATCGTGCACTTTTCTAGTGAGGATTCCGTTGCATCTGACCCGTACTGGCCAAGTAAGAAGCTTCAGGATAGAGGATTAAACGTCGTTCACTTCTGGCATGACCAAGGTTTTAGTAATATTCGTATGAGTGCCAGGTTTCGGAATTTCACTGGCGAGTTTTGTGAAATAATAAACGAGCAAATTCTACCTTGATTTATTCTTGTATTGTAATAAAGTTTCGCCTGAAAAGGCTTTATTTTTTCTTGGCAAATTTTGGGTAGCTGAAATCACTTGAAACTTTCCAATTTTTATTCATTGATCATTCTAACAGATATTTCCAGATGCATCTATTTTTCTCATTTTATTCAAAAAAAAGTCAGGTTATGGAAAATTTTAAATATATATATACATAAAAATAGGTTTAATTAGTCATCTCGAAATTTTTAGGGCGTAAAATGATTAATAAACTAAAATCCTTAACATAATTTTGTGACTGCTTACGAAATAATGTATACAGAATTGATTATAATTTTTCTTTGAGATTGCTAAAGCAACCAGAATAACATGTAAATATAATCAAAATGCAATAAATGCAGCGAGTAGACGTGATTGGGAGGACATTATTTTATATAAATTTCTCAGAATGCACAGAATATATTCTTAGAATACATAAAAAAAGAATTTTTAGAATTTTTTATTATTTATAAAATGAATAATATACACTAGCATCATCTTTTCACATATTATTTGAGTTTCTCATTTCATCAAATTGATATATAGTACCATCTCATATCATGAAAATACCTATACAGATAGGTAGTATTCATCCTGAAGTAAGAGTTACTAAACCAGGTGATTAAAAAATATATTAATAAAAAAAAGTATCAGAAGATGAAATATAAATATTAGTAAATGTAAAAATTTAATGAGCCATCAAAATATGAGCTATATAAATTGAATCAAAAAATAAAAAAAAATCAGAGTAATAATGTTCTTATAGAAGAGATTTTCTCTTATCATCTTAAATGACGAACTAATAGTCATATAAATTGGTGTGACTTTTTAAACAAGTGGCGGGAACAAGAAACAATTATTAAATTATATATCAATTTAAAGTAATTATATCCTACAAATTATCAATTAAATAAGCGTAAATTAAATGCATAGAAGACAATACTTTATCATATAGGATGTTATAATATAACACTATTTTTAAGATAAGAATCAGAAGAAAATAAATTATTTATTTAAAAATAGAAAAATATATATTCTAATTAGCTGATTTATTTGATTTATTATAGTATGAATTTTAGACTATATCACTAAATTCTGATATTGAACGAGATGCATTAAAATAATTAAATAAACTTAGTTTATTGATGACATATTCAATAAATTTTTACAATGCATCTAATATATTTTGGAACTGCTTTCAAAAAAGTTTGATGATTAATAAAAAAGGAGCTGATAGAAAACAAAGAATACTATCTATAATAGCAAATGATTTTAAATATGAGAAATTACAAAAATACTTATTGGTATTTATTAATAAAAAGTAATTAAGTTTTATTTTTATAATCATTTATTAAATCTTTTTTTTATTAGGCTTCAAATGATTTGATATCAAGAGCGTATATTTACTGTTATTTAAATAGACCTAGTGGTTTTTCAATAAAAAAGCCTTTTTTTACACATGAAAAATTATCAGTAAAAAATTTGCAAGAATTTGAAATTTTTATTAACAGATAGTAAAACTGATGAACCAATCAAATATCTTTGTGATAATAAACAAGCTCTTTAGAAAAAATTTCATACTGAATTTTCTAATGAAATTTGTCATATAATATTTATGACTAAATTACAAGGAAATGAATTTATATATTAAGAAAATTTAGGTGGTCTTTATTCAACTTGTAGTCGATATGAATATGAAATATTTAATGATATAAGAAAGCTTATTAAAAATAAAATTATAAATATCATTAAAAAGGTAAAATTTATTTGATATAATCATAATTTTATATATAATTATTTTAATATTAAAATTCTTTTATTACTTTTAGAAATAATTTCTTAATAATTGAAAAAATTACAACGATTTTTAAAATGAGATTATGAAAAAAATCTAATTGTTAATAATAAAGGAATAACAAAATACAATTATTATATTAGTTATTGCTTATTATGAGCTTTTTGAGTTTGTACAAAAAATCATACATATAAATCTCAAGAATATGCTGAATTATTTACCTTTTTAATCATCTTAAAAATCAACTTTCTATAGACTTGCATGAAGATCTTAATGAGTATCAAAATCATTTATTATATTATCTTGTTCATCAGATTCGTAAGGTTTATTTAAATACTCAATTTAATGCTAATTTACTAGATTTAGTTAAAAAAGATGCTGTGTTAGTTGTTGATTATAAAATGAAAATATTACCAAAAAGTGTTAGAGAAATTAAAGCAGAATTTTTTAAAAAAAAGGTTAGACATTACATATAATTCTTATGTATACTAAAGATTGGAATCTTAAGAATTTAATGTTTATGCTTATAATCATTGATCAATGAATGCATGTCAGGATTCTTAGTTTATTGCTTCTTTATTACATGTTATAATTGAATCATTAAAAAATGGATATCAATTATTTCAGATAATGTTCACATTATCATAATGCAGATCTAATGATAATTTTAAGTTATTGATTAGAATGGTATCAAATGAATGTAAAGAAATAGATATTTTTAGAAGCAGGAGAAGCTAAAATAACTATTGATAGTCATCATGCTCAGGTATTAAATAAAAAATAAATACTTACTTTATAAAAAAAATCTAATGTTTATTTAATAGATTACTTATGCAATCAAACATCAAATGCATCTTGGATTTGATATAATGGAAGGTGTTGACATTGAAACTGCCATTAAAAATATTTATAAAATATCTGTTGCATATTTAGAACTAAATCAATCAAAAAGTATATTTAAAATCAAAAAAAAAAAATAATAATAAATGAATATTATCTAATTTTAACTTATTTTAGATAAAAAAAAAAAAGCAAAAAATACTCTTTCTGGTAATTCTAATTTATTTGAATGGATGTGACTAGGAGAAAGATCAATAAAAGTTATATTCTTAGTATAGAAATACCTAATATTAGAAAATGGACAAATTTTTCACTAGCTAATTTGCAAAAAAAACAAATTGAAATTCCTAAACCTATAATATTAAATTCACATAATTTCTAACAATCAATAGAAAAATTCTATGTTAAATGTATCAGGTGATGGTGTATTATATTTTTATATATATATAATATATAGTATATTTAATTATACTCCACTTTTATTTTAGGTATTAATCCTAAAAGATTAACAAAAAAATAATTACTATTTGAATTAATAAAATGAAATATCAATATTATTAAAACTACTAAAAGTAAAAAAATAAAAATAATGTAAACAAATCTAAAAGTATAAAGCAAAAATTAAAACAGATAAATAGGAAGGGGATAATAAAGTATTTTTTTACATATTTTTATGAAATTATTATTATAAATTTATATTACACAAATAATTATTATTATAAATTTGTATTACAATTAAATAAATTATATAAAGTTAATCATGATTTTTAGTGTCTTAACAATTTATATTATAATATTAATAATACTTAATAATATAATAAATAGTATAAATATTTTTTAATAAATAGCATTTAAACAAACATTTTTTTTTTAAATTTTTTAAAAAAAAAATGTTTAAATTCTTTAAGAAAAAAAATACTTAAGTTTTTTAAGTAAAATTTTTAAAAGTAAATATATACTATCCTGAAAAAAGTATTTGAACACCAAAAAATTTATAATTTTTTTTTAAATTTAATAACTTTTGAGCTAAAAATATTGTTAATAATTTCTTTTTATCCTATCTAGAACATTATTCTTCAAATTTTTTATAAATACATTAAGAAATTTTTTATATAAAATAATAAAATACAATCTTTACTTTAATTAACCTTAGAATATATAAATGCGAATATCTTATAAAATATTGATTATGAAGATATAAAATTAAAACTATCATACTCACCTCACTAAGTTCTTTTTGTCAAGGTATACTTGATTAAAATTAAATAATTGTATATTAAAATAATTTAGAAAATATGTAAATTATTGCATTTTGAGGTATTTTTAATTGAAACCAGTTTTATTTATTTATGCATAATATACAAAGTAGTTTCAAACGAAAATAAAATATATTCAATTAATGCATCAAAATATGCAATATATAAAATATAAATAATAATATTTTTATACCATATAAACTTAAGCCACAATTCATAACAAACTGTGCTCAAATATTTTCTTCAGAATAGTGTAGATTTAATTTTATATTATACTATAAATCATTATCTGAATTTACTTTTAAATTATTTTACAAAATTATTTTGCTTTTTTAAAACTTTTTATTGATTTATTTTAGTTTTTTTTTGGTTTTCTTTAATTTCTTCTAGCTTTCTTGAGCTTTTTTTTTTTACTTTAGCTTTTTAGTTTATATATATATTAGTTTACTTTTAACTTTTTTTAATAGTTTTATATTATAATATCAATAATATCTTTTAAAATTGCAGCAAACTCTGATATAATTAATAATTTTAAAAGAGGAGAATAAACATTTTCAGATATTTGGAATTATATGTTAAAGGGTCCTAAGTAATCAAAAGGATATTATTTACAACTTATAATAGTTATGAATTATATTAGAAATATAGAAAGTCTTATATTCTTTAAGAACATTTAGTTAATCATTATAAAAATGTTTCAAAGAACTTGGATTATATTATGCAAGTATTGTAGGAAGAGATAAAGAAAAGTATAATATTGAAGATAAATATATTTCAAGTGAATTAGATGAACCTCCTTTAAAAATCCAAACAAATAGTAATGTCTAATTTTCTTGAACCAAAAAAATTAAAAAAAGGAAAAATTAATAAAATTAATCGTAGTATTATTAAAGTATTTATAATATCTAATATTTTATTCAGTATTATTAAAAACTCATAGTTCCTTAATCTAATTAAAATACTATAAATAGGATATAATATACCTTTACATTAAGTATTAAGTAGATTTTTATTATAAGTAGAATTAGCTAGAACTAATATAAAAATAGAAAATGAATTAAACAAAAAATAATTTTATTATTGGTAAG